GAGCTGCAGAAATCACTGACCACTTATCATTTTACATGAACTGCAGCAGTCACTGACCACTTATCATTTTACATGAACTGCAGCAGTCACTGACCTCTTATTTTACATGAACTGCAGCAGTCACTGACCACTTCTTTTACATGAGCTGCAGCAGTCACTGACCACTTATTTTACATGAACTGCAGCAGTCACTGACCACTTATTTTACATGAGCTGCAGCAGTCACTGACCACTTATTTTACATGAACTGCAGCAGTCACTGACCACTTATTTTACATGAACTGCAGCAGTCACTGACCACATCATTTTACATGAACTGCAGCAGTCACTGACCACATCATTTTACATGAACTGCAGCAGTCCACCATTCCATCACTCTGCTAAACTGGTGACCTCACAGCCATGAATCTTCCTTCCCCAAATACTCGGTGCATATAGCCAAAGCACCAACAACATTTACCAATATCCTTCAATCCAACAGTACGTTGTTATAATACTAATAACAAGGGTCAGTTCGACAGCTGTGATCAACCATTATAAACAGTGATATGAGTAACCATGGAAACTAAATCATGCCAGCTAGGACCCTTTATTTATGTACTTATTTATTACAATGTCCAATTAAAACATGTTCAGCTCATGTTATATTTCCTAGACAAATATTAATAGTAGATGTACGGGAATGAAAAAACAGGTCACTATTCCAGCGTAAAAAGAGATTGTGTTACCTTCTGTGTTTTCTGAATTCGTCAGAGGCACTGCAGAGAGAGGTAAATAGCATGACCCGAAAGCTTTTGGTATCAGCCATCAGTCACCATGATGTACAATTGTTTAAATAAAATTACCTTTTCAATCCATCTTCCCTGATAATGGAAACCTGTTCGAAGGCTTTGAAATAAATACTATGCTCTTACCATCATCCACCCTGCCAAACTGCATATTGTTATTTATTGCCTTATAGGAAACTTCACTGAAGAAATGGATATGCTTCTGTCATGTCAGGGTTATTTACAGAGGACCACAAATCACTAGGGCAGGTTTTGCCACATATCCTAGTACAAACAGATGATGTTACCTTTTGTGGATGGATCGTCCTGGTGGTTTACAGCCATCGAATGATTGTCTGTAGAGAAAGGTAAATATCAAGACCCAGATGGACTCAATTTTTTGTCTCCTGGCCTTTGCTGCCTAAAATTGTGTAAAGATCGATTGGCCGATTAATGTAAACGATTAATTGTCCTCCAGAAAACCAATCTGATCGTTTCATTTAAGTTGAAAACAACAAACTGTATGTCAATGCAATGCTTTAGATCATTATAGATCGGGCTTTTCGGCACTATACACCATTATTTTCGCCCACAATTCGATAAACAGTTTAATAATATGCCTAAACATATTCATGAGATTTTAATGCCCAAAAGTAAGTAATAAGTATAAATTTGGCATATCCTTATGCTTAATAAATTCAGTTAGCGGAGCACGCCACACGCAGCACAAGCGATAAGCTCTGAAGTCGCAGTGAGCTTCATCCATATACTGTTTTTCTGAAGCAATAACAAGATCCACCCAATACTTATCACATTCATACGGTCAAACGTCGTTTTCTTTCACCTTTCCTATTCCTGCCACTAAGTGGAGCTGTTAAACTCAATAAAAGAGAAAATGATGCTAAAATGTTTCACATTCTGTCTGGTGATTAGTTAGTGTAGGAATTGAGGAGTTTGGGATTCAGGAATTCTTTCAGTGAATTTGCGTTTGGTTTCTGGTGCTCCAAGGCCCTGCTGTCGACCTTTATTTTGTTAACTGAAGCTGCTGCCCTCAGCTGTGAGCACTTAGCCAGGTGCATCATCAATACATCAGCTGTGCTCAGGCATCACTGTAGGCATCGGCCCTGTGAGAAGCACCTGTTGTGTGAAGATCCTTCTTGTATAAAGACCAGCAAGTCTACCTGCACAAGTCCACTGAGCGAGGACACAAGATGATGTTTTCACCC